ATTTTTTGATACATATTGATGTCCTTATGCTGTGTAGAAAGTTTGAGCTGATTCCGACTTCCATTTTTCAAGTTACGGCCATTTTAAGAAAATGTCAAAATTCTGAAAAATACCCAAGGCTATAGCCCATGGTTTTTTTCCAAAAAATGGCTCCAAAATTACCCCAAATTTTTATTACATTTTCTGATACATATTGATGCTCTTATGCTGTGTAGAAAGTTTGAGTTGATTCCGACTCCAATTTTTCAAGTTACAGCCATTTTAAGAAAATGCCAAAATTCAGAAAAATACCCAAGGCTATAGCCCATGGTTTTTTTCCAAAAAATGGCTCCAAAATTACCCCAAATTTTTATTACATTTTCTGATACATATTGATGCTCTTATGCTGTGTAGAAAGTTTGAGGTGATTCCGACTTCAATTTTTCAAGTTACGGCCATTTTAAGAAAATGCCAAAATTCTGAAAAATACCCAAGGCTATAGCCCATGGTTTTTTCCAAAAAATGGCTCCGAAATTACCCCAAATTTTTATTACATTTTCTGATACATATTGATGCTCTTATGCTGTGTAGAAAGTTTGAGTTGATTCCAACTTCAATTTTTCAAGTTATGGTCATTTTAAGAAAATGCCAAAATTCGGAAAAATACCCAAGGCTATAGCCCATGGTTTTTTCAAAAAATGGCTCCAAAATCACCCCCAAGTTTTATTACATTTTCTGATACATAATGATATGATAGATCCATTGCTATTTATAAATTCATTAGTCCCGCCCATTACATGTTATTGAGTATTTTTCTGGTTAATTTATTATAATTATATCATTAGTGTACTATCCTACTGTACCTGGTTCTTATGTTCCGTTGGTGTTTGTTCCTGGACTGTTTGGTTGGGTATACGAAGAACTGTACAGCGACGTATTGCATAGGATTACATCACACGGTTACATATTAGTAGGAGTTGATCTTCATTACCCTGGCTATGGTACCAGTTCTGACGATGATGCTACACTCCTTAAACTAATTGATTGGGTAAGTATTTGTTGCTCTGTTGGTTGTTATTATACATAAATAATAATATTATTATTATTATAAATATATTATTATTATTATAAATATATTATTATTATTTGCAGTTAATTGCTGATTTAAATGATAAAGAACTGACATTGCATGGTGACCCTGGTGTGAAGGCTGATTGGACACTCTTAGGGTTGATGGGTCATTCTGCTGGCAATGATAATATATTGAAAGTTATTGAAAGAAATGAAACCTTAGCTAAAGTTAGTTGTAAATTGTCTTTTTGTTTGAGTCCTTCTCTCATGCAGGCTGTGTCATTTATTGAGCCAATGAGCTATTCATTTGAAAAGGAGCTGTCGTATTCCCTCCCTTCCCTCTGCTACGGGACCCAGTACTCTGAAGAGAACCCAAAGTGTATTTATGCTGACTTTGACTACAGACACTTTTATAATAAACTTCACTGCCCTAGGATACAGATGAGTGCTGTGGTGAGACTAGAATAGGATTAATTTTTCAATTATGTTCTATTTGTGTTTAGGAATATGGTCATTGTGATATTCTCAATGATTCCGGCTGGGAATGTGAGTTTAAAATACATTATTAATTACTAATGATAATTATTATTTATTATTAATTTTCAGTATGTCATGTGTCACATTCCTGCAAGACTAACACAACCAATGATCGAGTTCTCTATCACAGGTTCATATCAGGACTAATCACTGGATTCTTTGGATATTACTTGCAAGACAGTCCCCCATTGCTGTCTTATCTTACTAATCTTACTAATATACCAGTTGCTTTGGAGAACTTTAAATACGACATTAAATGTTAATCTTTGATGATACATAAACAAAGAATGATTTTATATTATTATTATAAATTTTAGTTTTGCTTGTGTAATGTTTATAATTCAGTTCATTTCGATGGTGCATTCCCTTGTGTAAACGTTAGCGTTATTTTGTGAATTGACTGCATTCACTTTCAATATGCTACCTACCATTTACTCAAACGTAACTGTTGAAGAAGTCTTCTCTTGTACATTTTATTGAAAATGGGTCAGTTCACTTTGTAAAGTTGTTTAATTCATTTTCCTTTAGCTTGTAAGGAGTTGAGCACTGAGTATCTCATTGAAGAAAAGGTAAGTGAGAGAGAGAGAGAGGGAGAAGTATTGTTTAATTTGTAGGTTGCAACTGGGAGACCGCCAACTAAATACCATCAAAAAAGAAATCAAAAGGTTCATGTGAAATGCACCAGTCATTATACCAATGCTATATTATACAGGGTGGACATAGCCACAGTCCTTCAAAATATGGCTCAGTTCAAGGTGATGTTGTCGTTTCTTCATATTACAATGGAAAGCCTCAAAATGTCAACAAACTCATTCCTCACTTCTATCTTGTCTTAGCACTGATACTCTCAGTTCTATTCAGCTTCACTGGAGTATTGGCCTTTGCTTTAGTCTTTACCATACCTGCAGCAATTTATGCAAGAAAGGTACCTCATGTATTGTGTCTCAATAATGATGCATACTCATCTCAACAGGCTATCAGAACTAGAGATGATCAGCTAAGAAGATCAAGATTGAAGTGTTCAATTTATTGCAGCATAACTGGATGTGTCGTAGGATCTTTGTCTGGTCTTGTAGTTTTTTCTGGAATCATTGGCCTCCTCTGTACAATCACCATACTCCTCTTTAGATTCAGCATATGCAATCAGATTGTTTCTAAAAATTCTCATGTAGATTCGCAATTTTTTCATTTTACTGTAAACTTTAAAAGTTTAATATGTAATGCAACAACTGAAGGGAATTAGATACTACACATTGTGTTTCTTGTTAAAAATAAATATATAATTTTTATACTATACATTGTATGAACATAAAAGAATCACCATTGCCATATAAGGAAGTGTTGTACTACAGTATTCAGATCAATAGTTACTGTGAATGTGTGTTAAGATCAACTATCAACAGTAGCTACACTGCTAGTCTGAGTCAGCAGCTTATGATGGCAGGTCAGTGAGCATTAACTCATAAATCACTTTTCACTCATGCCCAGCAGGTCAACCACTTCTATATAACAATGGACACCATCAGGTTAGTACAATATGATTATTGTGTCCTTAGTATGCTGAGTCAGTAGTATCCTCATTACAATGGAGTCCAGTATCCTCCACCACCAGCAGGAGGTACTAGACTATAACAGTCCCTTAGTACAATCCCATTTTACCAGCAGGTCAATATGGAGGGGTCTATCATCCAGTACCTGTCCATCCTCCCCACCAACCACCTGGACCTTACTATGACCCTCGTTACCACGGTTACAATCAGGGACCCCCTCCTCCTATACCTGATATATATAGACCAGTCTTACCTGATGGTGATGATGATAATGAAACTGATGATGCTCAAAGGCCAATCGTTAATCTACCTGCAGCTGTTACATGCCCTGTGAGATTATATAAAGTTATGACAAACTATTATTGTTATTTTCAATATAGAGAGGTGCTGTACCATTACCTAAACAAGAAAAAGTTAGTACATACATATGTGCATCAACCACCTGCTGTATCATATCAATACTTTTACTAATGGTACCAGTTATACCATTCACATTCTGTGCTCTCATTTGCTCAATTGCTGTAAGGCTAGTATCATTCAGTAGTAATGCTATTAAAGTTATGATTCGTAGGCCATTAAACAGGAGAACAAGATGAAGTATGTGTCTGCTCATAAGAAAGGATCCTGTGCTCTTGGTTGTATGATAGTTGCTGTTCCCGTTGGGATTGGCTGGGCTGTTGTGACTGTGGTTGTAATATTCTTTGAAGTTTTAGGCAGGATTAATTTTTAATTAACTAGGCCTAGTCTAGTAAATAATAACTGATCTTTTAATTAACTTGTTGTGGGCGTGTACTCAAAATGGCCACCAAGGGCTCGTTGGAGGAAAGATACAAAAAAAGAAAGCAGAAGCAAAAGGAGCTGTCCCTGAAACTATCAACTAACGTGTGCAGTTCCAGATACTAACAATCCAATTTATTATAATTATATTTATTTTAGCCATTCGATCAAGAAGGGGAGCAGCAGGAAGAGCAGCAAGAAGAGACAGCACTGGTCTCTCAGCCAACTGAAGTGCAGGAAACATCATTCCAGCCTTCACCTTACCCAGCACTAGTGGATGAGCTCAGGAGCAGCAGTAGAAGTAATAACAGCACTGCACTGTACAGTAATGCTGGTATTATCCACAGGTCGGTATAGGACATTCTCCAGTAGCAGCAGGTACAGGAGCATTCCACCACAGAGAAAGGTGTTGAGCCATTCTGTACTTATATCTTTATGCACTTATGCCTTGTAGGGTTCTGCATGGAGTCTTTGTCTTATTGTTTCAGTTATTTTTGGAATTATTTGTCTCATTCCAGCTCCGATATGCTCAGCTGCTAGTCTAGTGTTTGCTGTACAGGTAGACCTTAGTAGTTCCAGCTGCTACTGAAGGACATGTTTTGTATTTCTGTAGGCAGTTGAGGCAGAAAAACAGCATAACTTTAGAAGAAGATACACAAAAGAGAAATGGTCCCTTAGTTGCTGCCTCTTGAGTGTTATTCTTGGTACACTCTGCTTAGCTGTAGTGTCTCTGATATTTGCAGCTGTAGAAACTAACAAATTTATTTCAAATACTGACTCTTGACTATTATGAATAATTTATTGTTTTTAATTATTGTTTTTACTAATTATTGTTTTATTTTGCTGTAAAGAGAGTGATAAGAAATAACTAATCATAGCAGATATACACATCTATCATTCACACAAGATGACAGCTGCAATTATCAGAGAACACTCTTTTTGAAAAGTTTATTGTAAGCCCATACTCCTTACAACAATGTATAAAATATTTAAAATTACCTTTTAAAGAATTTATAATAATAATAATGACGATAATAAGGCTCTGCCAATTGTTCGAAGGAAAAGATTGAGTTTTAAACTTCACCATTTTGTGATTAACTTGTAGAAGAAGCAGAGAGAGAGAGAGAGGGAGAGGAGGAGAGAGAAATACTTCAAGTCTGATTGACTGTGTGTGTCTTTGGCGGACTTTCATCATCATAGTTCAGTGATTGATCCACAGAGGGTGGGTCATGTATTGAATAAGCAGCAGCTGTAGTGCCAGTATCACTACCGCCATAACCAGTCAGACCTGTTCCCTGGGGGAGGAGTAAATGAGCCGTAACTATTGTACTAATACTTACTGAACTTGGTTCAAGAGAAGCTGCATCCGACAATAAACTGAAATAATGGATAAATAAATAAAATAAATAAATAAATAGAGACATACTTGTACATCTTGTATCTACACTCCCCACCTTCTCTTGGGTCAATGCTGGACACATACAGTAATCCTTCTGATGTAGCTACCAATATCTTATGAACGCCCTCGACACTGTATTACAACAATAAATAAATTAATTTAATAAAGAAATAGCTAAAGAACTCACCAGGCTACAGCACAGACACTGCGTACACCAGACTGTGGTAACCTTAAGTGGGCAAAAGATCTGCTCTGAGAGAATGGCTCCGTCACCTAATTAAGTAATTAATTAATTAATCGGTCATTAATTAATTATTCACTTGTGATGGAAGGTAGCTAGCTGGAGTGGAGAGAGCCTTACCGATATAACTCATCCAGCTTTGAGACCCCGAGGGAGACTACAGATAGAGAGGAAATGATGTTCTAATAATGATATTGATCGGAATCAGTTCAAACTTTATATAAGCCATCAAGTACTCTTGATACACGTATATGCATCAGGGAAAATTATAAAAATAGAGAATTCTCTACTTTTAATCTTTCGTGAAATTTGGCCAGAGACCATGTACTATAGTACAGGGTCTTTAGCTCAATTTTGGAGCAAATTTTAAAATCCAGTTCAACTGAGCAAAATGTAAATTACACAGATGGTGAGTATCAGTGTGTGTGTGTGTACAAGGAATGGTGTATCTATTGATGGAGTGTAAAGGTCAAAGTAGAGGGACTAGTAATACTGAACAACGGGCCATTACTAACACACTAGTATAATGAGGTTGTACTGTGACATGTGCACAATGTAAAGCATTACAGTAATCCTTCCCAGCTTTAACTTGGCAAATGGATCAATAATGATGCCAACTTATTAAAAAAAAATAAATTATAAAAGTAATTCTTACAGCAGCTTCCTCTGGTTGCTGCAGCTGCTGATCAGGAGGAGCTGATTCCGTTAACTTAAAAACATGAACTGTTTCTGTGCTGCTTGAAGCAGACAAGTAGTTACTGTCCTCACTGAAGGACAAGCAACTGATTTGAATAAACCTGAAGGAGGAGGATTAATGCTAATAATAATTGATAAAAATACCTCTTCATTCCTCTACGAAATTCAAATAATTTATCACCTTGAGGGATACTAAAGACTCGTATTACGGTACCCTATAGAGGGTGAGCTGTTAGCAGCAAGAGAGAGGTGTGGCTTACTGTGGTAGAAGCTGTTGCTAGTTTAGTTCCAGCTGGATTGAAATCCAAAGCAGCCAAAGGACTATCATGAGCATTGATACCAGCAACAGCTCTCTGGAAATAACAAAAACTCATTCTCAAACAGTCAAACATTCATTCTCATTCTCACGAGGTTCATGGCATCAAATACTTGTACTTCTCCAGTCTAGGTCATTATAGTTATCATTAGTTATTAAAGGTTATTAAATACCTGCACACTTCCTGGATACGCAATGAGTGCTGTATCGTTAGCATGAGACAATGAACAAAGACCTATAATCAATTCATTAATAATTAATTAATTAATAATTAATTACCGGTTGGGTTCCTAGGGGTCTCTCTTATTGTATGCATAACCTGTGGATGGGAGGGGCAGTGGGAGGAGTCAGATATGATAATGATACCTTCATGTCTCTTATATTGTGAATGTAAAGGTTTTGTTTTAATACCACTATGAGTCTCTAGAGACAAATATAGAATACATTATCAATATATGGGCTAGCTCATACCTGTCTGTTCAGGTATACCGCCAGGACTGTATCAGGATAGCTGTATGTACATATTTCAGAGTTTTTCTAAACAAAAACAACAACAACATAAACAAACAAACAAAGGATGGATTACTTTAAAATGACAGAGTCTCAGTTTCCTTGGGTTAGATGCTTCAACGATGGCCACCAGGCTACTGGAGAAGAGTCTTTCAATGATACAGACCTCCCCTCCTTCTGCCAGTGAGAGGTGACATTATCTACATGCAATACATGATGTGCTAACAACACCTTTTTCAAACAGGAGGTCAGGTTTGTCATTAATAGCATTGAGTGAGTATAACTTATAACCTGTTCTTGTACCAACCGAGAGTGACCTAATGTATGTAGAGATATATATATACGTGTCTTTACTTATTGGAAGTAAAACAGTCTCTCACGACTTGTCCTGATTGAAGTCAATGTAGAGTAGATCATGAGTCCTCTCAGCTGGTTCTAATGTTAAGTTCATGAGGACAGACAAACAAAAGCAGTCAAAAGAGAGGGAACAGCTACTGACTGTACACACACACTTGGAGGAAAGAGGTGGGGAATGTAAAAGGGTTAAAATTAAACTTTGTTACTAACAATAGAATGACTAATTGTGTCATGATGTTACTAAAAATAGACACACACCACCCTCTCGAACTCAGTATAAAAGGAAGAGGAGGTTCATTCAAAGGCAGGTTCTATCTTTCAGGGAGACTCCTCACTCAGCTGACAGTGTCACCTTCTCATACAGAGATGGTGTCATTCTCTCTTGAGACAGTTCCCTCTCCTGATTGATGCTTACTTCGCTTACTTTGATGTATACGGCAGTCATAAGATTGTCTATACTTCAAACCTTGTTCCAAGACCCTTCACTGTCAGCGGCCACGCTACCACTGCCAGTCAGTGCTATGTGGCAGGTGAGGGAGCTCTTGGGACACACCCCCAGGACTGCTACTAATACCAGCTCCTGTACACCGTTAGGTGATAAGGTGGTGTTAGCAGTAGTATTGAGGGTAGCTCTAACAGTGAGAGTAAGAATCAGTTAGTAGAGGAACCGCGTCAAGTTAGAATGATACTCTCTCCATTACAAAACACAATATTAAATAATAATAATATCAACAGTTTTAGCAACAAATATTAATACATAAATTAAAACTTGTAGCTCTGGACAATTAAAACACAATGAATGGCAAGTACATGTACACATCTTTAGAACAATCATTATTATTATTATTATTATTATTATTATTATTATTATTATTATTATTATTATTAATCATTGTTATTATTCTAGTATTACTCAATTATCTTCAATACTTTCCCAATGGCAATAGTTTTACCTAATAAAGTAATGAAAGTAATTTGACACTATTCTTAGAATAACATATCACACACCACACTCGACACAGTCAATATGCTAAATATAGACTGTTCTAAATACAGAACTAACCACAGATGCAATGGTGTGCTATATTTAGTAACAATACCTTCATCTCTTAATGTAAATCGAGCCATAGCAGGAAACTCTTGAAACTTCTCCATACAAATAACTCGTGAGGTTTGTAAACGGGCAATAGCTGTGTTGTCCTGTTTTATGAACCTGAACAACAACAATAACAATATCTATTTATTTATTCATACTTTGGCTTTTCTGGTAACTTCTTGCCAGATTTCTTGTCAATTTTAGCAATCAGTTGCTACAAGAAGAAAGGAGTCCAATAGATCAGTACTTAAACATAATAGCTGACATACTGTGATCTCCACTTCTTCTGCTGCATTATGAATGTGTAGGACGCAACTAAAACCAGCACAAATGATACTCTTGTACTCCAAAATGACAACCTACAGAGAAGAATACCTCACATGTTACTGAGAGACTGTGCGGTGGGTGAGTACCTGAGCATCAAAGATCCTACCAACGTGACACGGACTGTGGGGACTACACAATACAAACCCTGGAGATATGTCCTATTATAAGTAAATGAATTATTATCAATATTGGTCAGACCTCTTCTTCAACTCCTTTCAGTTTCAGTTTGATATTGTCCCCAGAATAAGCAGCTGGTACTTCATCTTCAACTCTTATCACAGTCAATACTTCGACCAACGTCTATTAATAATCAGTTAATTAATCAAGCAATTAATTAATCACTGACTCTATTCGGCATCAGTATAAATTGTGATCCTTTGCAAACTGAACCGGATTCAACCTTACCCATTACCATTGTCCCCATGTCCTGTATGTGTCACACGTTCACAATATTAACCAATACTCCAGTCACTAACTTTAAATTTATCAGCAATTGGCATTCTAAAGGCGCCAGTGTCTTCTCTGCTGATTGTGGGTAAGTTATCAAGATACGGGATGAAGGCGGGGCCACTAAGAACTGATAAACCACACCTACTAGGTAATTAAGACTTACCTGTACCACTTATCAGTGAGTGGCTCCTTTAAATTAGCACCTGTCAGACCAGACACAGGCATGAAGTAAATATCTAACAACAACAACAACAACAACAACAATAATAATAATAACAAATAAAAGTACCTGTCTTTGGATTGAAGCCAAGTTTCTTTAAAAATGGAGTGAGTTTAGTTTTACATTCTTCATATCTACAGACAATCAAAGATATACTCAATAACAGTCAATGTATAGTACATGAATGCTAAAGCACTAAAGTACAATAATGTGGGTATACCTTTCCTGTGACCACTGTACTGTTGGATCATCCATTTTATTTATTAATACAATCAGGTGCTTCACTCCAGCTGTCTTTGCTAACATTGCATGTTCTCTATCAATTCAATTAATTAATTAATTATTAACTGGTATCATACCTTGTCTGTCCTCCCTTTTCAAATCCAGTTTCAAATTCTCCTCTCCTAGCAGATATTACCTATTATAATTACTTATTAATTACAGGGTCAGTCCCGGGGGCTACTGCTAACCAACACTCCAATATCAGCCTGTACTGCTCCTCCTATCATGTTAGGGACAAATCCAGCATGACCAGGTGCGTCAAGTATTGTAAATCTCTTTCTGTCGGTTTCAAAGTTAGCTCTACCTACTTCAACAGTCTTCCCCTAAGTATTACCAAGCTATCATTAAAGACGGCCCCTAGACACCAAACCTTGTCCCTTTCCTCCTGGTTAGTGTCCAGGGCCCATGAGAGGTACCACGTCTCTCTGTTCTTCTCCTTTGCCTCTCGCTCGTACTTCTCTAGTGTTCTTTTATCCACTCCTCCTGTCAGGTACCTTAAGGGACAGGAGGTGTGGCATTATTTAAAAATATTTCTTACATAATGTGTCCACCAATTGTTGACTTCCCTGCGTCTAATTAATACATTAAATAAATAAATAAACAAACAGCTTACCTACGTGACCGATGAATACAATATTCACATTCTCTTTTGCTTCTTTGTCTCTAGGGGGAGGAGCCACACCCTTCAAGTGTTGCTTAGCAACAGCGGGCCCCTCCTCCTTAGTCCTAGTGGGTGGGGCTACTTTATGATCAATAACTGGTGACGGTTGACTGCTGTTGTCACTAGAAGACTCCGTGTGTCTCTCCCCACCAGCTGAAGGGGTCTGGTCTTCATTAGTCACTGCTCCTTTAGTACCTACTGGCTCGGAGACCACACCCTCTTGTTGTTTGACCACACCCTCTAGCTCTTTCGGTTCCTGTTTGATGGTGGGAGGGACCTCAGGAGAGAATGAATGCTCTACGGACTCATCAGCTCTTTCCTCCCAGGAATCAACCTCCTTACTCAACAATGAATTCTATGAATACATTCATCATTAATAAATCAATTACAATACATACATCAGTTCCAGCTGGTTTAGTATTCTTAGCATTATCCGACTGATCTTTTACACATGTATCTGTAAACAATAAACAACAATAAACAACAACAAGACACGTACCGTTAGTCTGTTGAGATTGTCTTGTTAATAGCTGAGGCACCCTACCTCCTGGCTGATACTGGTTGCTGTACCCTCCTCTATAACCTATTCATTAATTATTAACAACAAGTGGCCACTTCACTCTCCTACCTCCTGATTGCTGGGGGTGTGGCTGGTACGGTTGATACATCACGGGATGCTGTCCATACATACCTGAATGATGACCTAAAGATTAATAACCACTACTTAATAACCAGTAGCTAATAAAAACAATAACAAACGAAGAATTCTCTACTTTTCATTTTTGCCAACTTTTTAAGTAACTTTAAAAATTCACAAAAAATACAATCTTGATCGAAACCAACTCAAACTTGCTACACAGCATAATAACATGTATATGCATCAAAAAAAATTATAAAAATAAAAATTCTAAACTTTAATTTTTGCCAAAATCCCTATACTATAGTACAGCAGATTTAGCCTGATTTTTAAAGAACATTAAAGCAGGTCTAAACATGCATTACATTACTGTTCAACTGACCAGGTCCTCCCATCTGATAAGGTAAGTGTCCATAATACTGATAGGCTCCTGGTTGAAAGGTAGGAGCATTGACGTTTGGTACAAACTGGGGGGCCGAAACACGTAATCCTTGAAACTGACTCTGAATATCAGAGGGGGGCGGGTTAGAACCCCCAGGTGGATTATTAGACATTTTGAAACTGTTTAAAATAATACAATAATTAAAAGAAACCAGTACAATCTTACCTTAAGATACCAACCCTCTTTGAAACTGGTTCCTATTTTTTGTAATACAACTGTAACACAATACTCTAAATGGCTTACCTACAGAGGCCACTAATTTCTTATAAATTCCTTTCTCTGTCTTTTATTCTGTTTTATTCTCGGTTTTATTGCACCACAAACACACAACGTGGGCCATAATGCATATGCATGAGATCACGTGATCAAATTTAAAAAAATTTACTTTTCCTTGCACTTAAATCTAAATAGAGTTTACGGCAACATTGTCAGTATCACGTGATCATCATGTGATTTGAAGGAAATTGTTCCTAGGACCTCTCATTCTAATAAATAAAATGACTCTTTGAGAGTATACGGTATCTATTAGTTCTGTGAAGACACAAGAAGCAGATTGACTCTCTCTCCCCTCTCCCTCTCTCTCCCTTCTTTGTAGCTCATTTATAATAACAAACCAACTGGACACAAGGTAAAGGTTGGGCCAGTATCGTCACTTCATTCATTCAATCTTTCAGTCATTTATTTATTTATTTATTTATTTTGTTTCTTATTTTTGTTTTTATTTGTAGTAGAAAGTGTCAAATTGTGGCTTATATTTTTGTTTGTGTGTAATGATAGATAAAGCTTATGATCAAAGATTAACTGGATATTGTTATTTCAAATGAGATCGGTTCATGTCATTATAGTGGGTGTGGTTCATAGACTCCGCCTGTACAATGTACATGTAATTGTACATGTATTCTGCCCCTTTCTTTTTAGTTTTGTTATTCTAATTAATGCACACCAGATTTTGAAAGCAGCTGCTACATTGTCAGTTTATTTTGACCACATTTTATGATTCATGTACATGATGCAACATTCATTATTATTATTTTATTGATAGTCATCATGGCTGAAGGTGGTAGAGAGATGTTGTCTCCATTAGAGGAGCAGTATATCAGGTAGTACATGTACATGTACATTTAGTACACTCCCTCTCCTTCCTCTAGGGAACAGGAAGCTGAAGTTGATGCTGATGATCTTTTAGCGACTGAAAAGGACTTGGCAGCTCAAAGGCTGTGGCTTTCATTTCAAGAATCAGCAACTGCTGTAGCTCACCTCTTCAGAGGTTAGAAATATCGTGACATGTCTTTACATTACGATACTCTTACAGACTGTCAGCAGAGAGCTGGGCTTTCTTCCTGGGTACCATTCCATGAAAGTGCAAGTGCAGTAACTCAACTTTATAGAGGTAATATCAGTGTTAACATATCAGTGTTAATATCAGTGTTAATATCAGTGTTAACATATCAGTGTTGACATCATTTTATTATTTCTTTGATTAGATTCTGCTGACGTGTGTAGACAGTGCATTGATTGCGGTGTGAGGTATGGCTACAAGAAGAGAAGTAAAGATGTCTTGTCTTGGGCTAAAAGGAAGAAGAGGTTTATAAAACGTGAAGAGCTCATTGCGTTCTTAATGAACAAGACAGAAGAGACTTCCTCAGACCTTTCCCTAATGGAGGAGACCAGTGAATCTACCAGTGGAGGTATCTCAGGCTCAGTGCCCAGCCCTACTAGGAGACGTCTGATGTGTAGAGAAGAACTGCCTCCTCCTCTTCCTCTGTCTGACGGGAGTGAACAGCTCCCAGTGTCTCCTTTTAGTAAAGAACTCCCTAGGAAGAGACTCAATTCATTTAGTATTGATGGATCAAATCTAGTGGGTGGAGTCAGTCCTGGAGGAAATGAGTTTGGAGGTCCATTAACTAAAAGGATTAAATTCTAATAATACAGAGACATTCTTCCTTAAGTTATGATTGTGTATCCTTTTTCCTCTCCCTCCCTCTCTCTCTCTCTTTATTGTTGACGATTAACATAAGAGGAGCATTATTAGTATTCTCTTTTCTTTGGCACTTTTTCTGTATGTAGCATAAAAGTTAAAACTATCTCAATTGTTATAATAATCATTCTTTCAATAATATCATTTTAATTTAATTCATTGCTGTTACAAAAGACTTTGCTCGCCCTCCTGTGCAACATAAGGGCGTGGCTCACTGTCTTAGAGTAAACAGGCTACAACAATGGCCTTACACGAGCCTTCGACCCGGATACACCAGGCTGCTAAAGAAGGAGAGATTGCTACTCTAAGTAGAGCAACGAAGAAAGAGCTCAATATTCCTGATACTGAAGGATGGACACCAGTCCATTGGTGTGCTTGGACAGGTCACCCCGAACCATTAGACACTGTCCTTAGGAAAGGGTAAGGCTGTAGCCATAAAGTTTGAGCTGACCACTGGCAGCGAAAGAACTATTAATGTATTAGCTACAGCATTATTACATGTATAGTGATCAACCCAGCAAAATAATTAGCATCATATAAATCACTGATATTCTCTATCTTTCATGCAGTGGCAATCCGAACAAGGTTGATGCCCGTGGCTGCACTCCACTCCACATTGCAGCAACTTATGGTAACAGCGAGGCACTGGAGCTACTCATAGAGCACAAGGCCAACATGTGGTCCCTTGATGACAGAGGGTATCACCCAACAAGAGTAGCTGCCATTAACAAGAGGCTGGACTGCTGCAGGATCCTAGACACCATTGGGCTCCAGTTGAATGCAAGACACCCTGAGTTTGTAAGGGCACAGCAGATGAAAGCTTTAAAAGATCTTCAGAAAAGAATGAAGAAATTAGAGAAAATTAACCTCAAGGGTCGTTCAAACTCAGTGTCAGCGAAAATGAAACCAAAATCCAAGAAAGCCAAAGGGAAGAGCTCAAGCGGAGAAGGAGAGACAACGTTTGTATTGAAAGAGAAAAACGAAGAGGAAGATGATAGTGAAGGTGACTCAGAAGAAGATGATGAGCTCACTGATCTAGCGACAATGTCAGGAAGAAACACACTGCGACCACTACCAAAGATGACCTCAGGGGCAATGCTCAACACTTTCAATGATCTAGCAAGACACCCACTCTCTTTTGAGTACCCTGATGAACTCCAGGGATCAAACAGTGATCCAGCTCTACCACAGAGAAGGGAAGGAGGAGAGATGAGAGTCATTAGCAGGCAGAGAGGTGGGTCTGGTAGAGCCATCATGCAAGTTATACCTTTAGACACAACAGAGCTGGAGCTGGAGAATGATTCACCTCTGGCAACACTACTTCACTCCTTAGACCTTTATGATGAAGGACAGGCTCTCCTTAAGGAAAGAATGGACCTAGAGTCACTGTCACTCTGCTCTGAAGATGATCTACTCAAAGTTGGACTCTCCTATGGACCAGTTAAGAAGATTACTGATGCAGTGAAGAAAAGGAACAGACACATAAACACTCCAGTGAGGGAGAAGGAAATGACAGACACTGAACTGTGAAGTAGAACACACACACACACACACACACACACACACACACACACACACACACACACACACACACACACACACACACACACACACACACACAGTACCTAAGTTACATGCTATGTATTTATTACCTTTTTAATATTATACAGTATTTAAAATACCAAAAATTGCATAGACAATAAGAATTAAAGTATTGATCAGTGCACATATCAGTTATGCTTTCCAATAACTGTGAAATAGATTACAATAAAAATTACACTAATACCATGAATAGTGAGACCAATCACTATTGATATCAGATTGAATATCTTTGCTTTCCTGGAGGCTGAACGAGCTTCTTCAAAATATCCATGTTTTAAATGTGTTCGTGCCTTTGAAAAGAGAGAGGGATATTAGTTAGTGTATAAATGTAATAATCACTAACTTCAACTGATTTAATGAGGGCCATCACTGCCACTGGCATAAAGCAAAAGGTCATACTGAATATAGAAAGCCAGAAATAAGATGAAGGAGGTATCATGTATCCAACATTATTAATTGTTTTCTAAATATAAAGACAAACAATGAAAGTCCAGCAGCTATATATAGCTGTGTACAGTCAGTGGTACCTGCTGAGAGTAATAGAGTCCTGAATCATTTTGATGTAGCAATACCTGCTGATCTCCTTTTCGATAGATCAACACTAAAGTACACTAAATGAGGTCATACCTTTAGTCTCTTGAGTCGAAGACATCTCTATCTTTTTTCTGTAAGAGACAAGTTTATACAGGAACAGTACATTGCAGAGCCAGTGAATGGGTGGGGCTGGTAGGTAGGTGTGGTTTATGCAGCAATATGGCTGCTGTAGAGAGCTCCAGCTCTGAAGTGATTGTGAAAATATCCTCAATATCTCACCCTCTCCTTGAAGAGATGAAAGGTAACACTAGAACAGCACAGAGGCTGTCCTGTTTCACCTCCCTTGTTGTGTGCAGGGATACTCTCAAGGCTAAAGATGGTTGGAGGAATGATCCAAGATGGCTGTCCTCACCTTGTACCTTTCTGTGAAACGATAGAGTCTGTCTTTAGACATGGACTCAAACGTAAACTAACCAATCAAGACACTTAAGTTCATGTATACCTGTTCTCTTTCAGAGCCAAACTCGTTCTTTGGTTTAAACAGACAAGATTACTGGTCCTGGATTGAAATGCTACAGGAATATTATTTTAATGAAAAGTAAAGACTATAATAATAATAATAATAATAATAATAATAATAATAATAATAATAATAATTATTATTATTATTATTATTATTAGACAGAATCCATTGCTACATTCATTAGTGACTGACATTAGTTCAACAAACAGAGTAAGGATATCATGATATATTCTTTCTTCACATTCATCTCTCTTCTAGATTAGGACATTACAAGGGAGAGGGAGGTGTTTTATAAGAGGATCATTAACAAACAAACTGATATCAGTACCAGTGGAGCATTTAGTGAAGAACACCAAACTAACTGAAGTATTAATCAATATATCAATTAGTCTCATTAATACATTGTAGTATTGGTATGTTAAAGATTCAATAATTGCTAGCACTGAATTGAGAGGTAGTCACCATCATCATCATTTTATTATTTTGATTTTCATTGCAGCTGTGTTTATGGAGCTTTTGTTTCAAGCAACAGAAGTTGATTTTGACTTGGATTACAAAGTAATTGCTAACAGTTTTAATAGTAATTAATATTAATTATCATATACTTTTAGACATCAGGATTTCTTAATGAAACTTGGGTCATTCCTGTAAGATTAATAGTATTATTTATTATTATTAATTGTTTTAAAAAGGTATACGTTACTTATAAATTACCGCCTGTTAAAACACTTGACATTGGCGTAAGGTAAAGAATGATATTAATAGAACACTAGCAATGTGTACGTGCTACTGAAATAGGCGTATTGACGAGCGGCAGCTGGTGGTTGATATAGAAAAGGATTGTTTGGCTTATAAAGCAGGTATTGAAGTATGGGATATTGTTGAAGAATTGTGTGGACAACCTATTCATCTTATTACTGGAAATGTAATAATAATGATGACAACAATAATTTATTATTATTATTATAATTTTAGTTTCAAAAGTATGTAGCCAAACATTCGATTGATTTTACTGAAATAACTGTTGTCAAGGTAACCACTAACCATTAATAACCATTAATAACTATTAATAACTAGAAACATTTACCTGATGGCAGTCCATTTGCTCCTGTACTTCGGAGACAGTTATTGTTCACTCATAAAGTGACCACACCCACTTCCTCTATGTGGATACCTGAATTTATTAATCCTCACACATCAGCAATCATTAGAACAATTGGAGAAAAGTTAGCATATATCAATAATAATAACAATTATAATAAGTATTATTATTGTTATTATTATTATTGATTAGGACTGAATATTCATTAGTTTATTTGGGTAAACACATAATGTTAATTAATGAGGAAGAAGTAATTAATGATAATAATATTATTAATAATGTATATGTATCGATCACAGGTTGGTCAAAAGACTATAGATACAGCTGTGTCTCGGGTACTACATGATACCAGGAAACCTGAGGTAAGTAGAGATACAGGAAACCACACCTCCTTATCTCATTGTAGGATATCACTTTAACTCTAAGCACTGTTGGATTATTATTATTACTTAAAGAAGTATCCTTATTTCATTCAATACACATTATTCTCTCCCTCTCTCTCTGATAGCGTAAACTATTAGTTTGTGATTATCGTGAGCTGATAATATCAGGACAATCTACAGCCCACATGTCCTGCCTAGCCATTGTTTGTAAAAGAGGTGTGGCCAGTAAAGAGGCGGAGTCTAAAGAGCTGGTCTGTTACGTGTGTGAAACTCCGACCTTTGAACTGGTACTATAATAATAATAATAGACCAGTTGATGTATTCATCTGTTACTATTTTTAGGCTCAGTGTGTTTGCATGCATATTGGTAAGTTACAGCTCCTTCTTCGTTAGTATTTTCTTGATCTATTTTTAGCTCAAGGTTTTTCTCAAATATCTATTCTACAATAAACGTTTCTTTATTTTGATAAATGTGCACAAATATTTGTATTATTTTATGACGAAAATGCTAATAATTAATATAATAAATGGTCATTACTGGTTATTGTAACACTGTCTTGTAGTATAGGCAGCAACAGCATATCCTGATATGATGGAACACCCTAATAATTATAATAATAATAATAATAGTAATATTGATGATCATCACAACTGATACTGTCGGTTACCTAGGACTGTCAGTAAATGGTATTTTTGTGGTATAAATCCACCCACAGCTGGAAATGACAATCCCACATAACTGATACCACCAACTTATAAAAGACCATATAAAATAATAAAACCAATAAACTATTATATAATAGTATTGATAACCTAAGCCCAGTGTAAGCAGACCTGACTTCATGCCTGCATTCCTGCACTCCTTCAACTCTGAAAGGGCCTGTTGATAATGATTATTAAATGACTTTTAAGATTTACTGGATATTTTGCACCAGTCACTTTATTGATTTTGTCCATTTTCTCTACAGTCTAGATCTAGTAGTCTACACGAGTTTCAAGTTTACGGAAAGTGTACTGAGTTGACCACACCCAAAAATAAGCAGAGCCACACCCATTTACTACAACTTCAGCCTTCAGGTAGCACTAAAGCAGACAGAAATGCCAAGGAACAGAAGAGGAGGGAATATATTTAAAGTAAATGACGAGATACTGAAGGAGCTTGTTGGCAGATGGAAGATAACAGCCACAGAAATCGCCAGTTCATCAGGAACGGACCTACATACTGATGACAACTTGTAATGATTATATTATTATTCATTTTTATTTGTTTATCTTTAGAGTTGAGTTTACACTTGATGATGGTTACGATATTGATTGGAACGTCCCTGTTGCTATGGAAACTAACCAACTCTTTCAAACGAGTTCTTTTCAAATTGACGACAGAAAAATCACATTTAGTGGAACTACTGATGGAACTACATTTGTATTTAATGTGAGGGACCGAGTGTTATACTTAAAAAGTTTGTAAAGAACCCAAGCTCTATCAAAATTAGCCCCAAGTTTCTACACAACTTAAGTACATGTACATGTATATGCATTAGAAAATATCGCGAAAATGAAAAATTATCTAATTTTCATTTTTGGCAAAATTTGGCCAAAATCCCTGTACTATAGTACAGGGACTTTGGCCCGATTTTGGAAGAACTTTAAAAATTTGTAAAAGAATCCAATCTTGATTGGAATCAACTCAAACTTTTTACGCAACATAAGTACATGTATATGCATCAGAAAATATCATAAAAATGAAGAATTCTCTACTTTTCATTTTTGGCAAAATTTGGCCAAATTCCCTGTAGGGACTTTGGCCCGATTTTGGAAGAACTTTAAAAATTCATAAAAAATCCAATTTTAATCGGAATCAGCTCAAACTTTCTACACAACATAAGTACATGTATATGCATCAGAAAATATCACAAAAATGAAGAATTCTTTACTTTTCATTTTTGGTGAAATTTGGCCAAAATCCCTGTACTATAATAGTACAGGGACTTTGGCCAAATTTTGGAGCAACTTTAAAAATTCATAAAAAATCCAATTTCAATCGGAATCAGCTCAAACTTTCTACACAACATAAGTACATGTATATGCATTAGAAAATATCATAAAAATGAAGAATTTTTTACTTTTCATTTTTGGCGAAATTTGGCCAAAATCCCTGTACTATAGTACAGGGACTTTGGCCCGATTTTGGAAGAACTTTAAAAATTCATTAAAAAATCCAATTTCAATCGGAATCAGCTCAAACTTTCTACACAACATAAATACATGTATTTGCATCAGAAAGTGTCATAAAAATGAAGAATTCTCTACTTTTAATTTTTGGCGAAATTTGACCAAAATCCCTGTACTATAGTACAGGGACTTTGGCCAGATTTTGGAGGAACTTTAAAAATTTGAAAAAAATCCAATCTTGATTGCAATTGACTCAAACTTTTTACTCAAAATAAGTACATATATATGTATCAGGAAATATAAGAATTTTCTACTTTTTGTCAAAATTTGGCCCGTGACCATGTACTATAGTACAGGGACTAATACCAGGTTTCATTAATATCATTAATTAATATTTTATTTCTTCAGGTTACATTTTTGGATGATTGTATTGTTCAGTTAAAGTCTTTAGATGATACTATCTCCATTTATATTAAGAAGGTATTTAATTAATAAATAACCACACCTTCAATTAATTTAGATTGTTTCATCTCCTGAGTCTATTCAAGTTTTTGATTTATTGAATGCTTTGAAAGAAAATTATTTTTCTGATCTTACAATTAGATCATCTGAAGGCATTAAAGTAATTATTAGAAATATCATTGTTCAGTGTTATTATTATTATTATTATTATTATTATTATTATTATTTTGAAATTCTGTTATCTTTAGTTTGAAGTTCACAGGTGTGTATTAAATTCTAGTGTTCAAGGGGTTAAATATAGAGACTGGGAGGTATTCCTATCAAAAATGTCTTCAGACGCTTCTCGTGCAGCACTTCAGTAATTAATTAATTATTATTGATTTAATATTATTATTTATTTATTAGTTATATTTATTCTTCAATTCTACCTTCTGGAATCGCAGCTGAACCCGTTAAAGAATTGTTAGAACTTTCAAGTTCAAATCCGAAGTTGTCTCACCTCCATTCTCTCTGTGATGAATATATTGATTCTATGAAACTCAACAAAAGTAAATATTGAAAGATAAATATATGAAATGTTTTATTTGTTTTTGTAGGATTGATTCATTTAGTGGATTCTTGTCTTCATTCTTTGGAGGTCGTTAAAGAGCTCATTGTTAGTGCTACAATGGACGACCCTGCAAAAGTAGTGTACACCATAAAGCAGATATTCAAGGAAGTTGTAGCAGGTATTGCATCATGGCAGATTATTAATATGTACTTATTGTAGGCGTGTCTAGGTTTATTCTTCTCTCTCATCTTTACACTGTTAACAAGAAGGGAATGTCAAAGAGAGAGAAACGTGAGATACTGGAGTATATTCAAGGAAGACTCGTCGTCTTCATTGATGGAGGGAGGGAGCTGCTACAACTCTCAATCTCTAAATGGGAGACCTTAACCGATGACCAGCAGACAGAGATATCACTCTACATTATACCCAATGTACTTTAACATACGTACACTGTACAGGTATTGCTCATGTTTCTGTAGATTAATCAGATATGGTTGGATATCAATGAATACACAAAGGAACTGAATGTATCTCTTACTAATGAACCAACTGATGGACCAGCTGCTCCTGAGGTACCTCCAGCCTTAACTCTTCAACAAAAACTAGCAGCTGTAGTTCAGCTGAACACTTCCAAGACAGAAATGAAAAGAATTAAAAAAATGAAAAAGGAATTTAAAAAGTTTGTTGAAGTTGGTGACTACAGAAGGTACATTTTAGTTCAATTATTGTATAAGCACTATTGGAACAGGTCACAGTTCATTGGTCTTTCTGAAGAAGAAAAAGTTGAAAAAATAAAACGAGTAATTGAAGAAATGACCCACGATGTAATAATAATATGAAATGATGATGATAATAATGATACATTTGTATTTATTATTTTCATCTCAGGGCCAGAGTATAATTGGTAGGTTGGAGGATTTGAAGAAGAAGATATTGATTGCAAATGCTTTGGACTGGGGCAGTTATAAACTAGGAGTATCAATATCCTCCTCTTACATTGTAAGGATCTGTTATCATCATCATCATCATCATCATCATCATCATTATTATTATTATTGTTGTTGTTGTTGTTGTTGTTTTATTTATTCTTTCCTTAAGTCCTGGGGTCTCAATAGACTATGTTTCTATAAGGACCAGCTGGTCCCGTTATTAAAAAAATTATCTCGTTTAATTTCAAGTGATGAGTTCAATCAGACGCTAATAGAATTGAGATTAGCCGATCCACAAACACTTTTTGATGAAACTCCACCCACTTCCATACCTACACCACTAATACCTACAGGGAAGGTATAATTAATAATTATAATAATGTTATTATAATTAATTATAGAAATGTAATGCTGTAATACCTTTGGTTGGAGGATGTCTTGAATTATTGAAAATTCAAGAAATGTCTGACATGATACTTATTGTGCAAGAGTTGGCCCTGCCCAGTGATGACCCCAGCCACAAACCACAGAACGATGAGGAGGGAGTGGTTATACATGCTCACAGGTTAATTATTATTAATTGATTTGATTAATTAATTTATCATTGTTTATTAATTTAGAGTAATATTGAGTTCGAGGAGTGAGTGGTTCAGGTCAGCCTTGCAATCAGGAATGATGGAAGACAGAAATAAAAAGTAATTGATAATAATTATAATTATTGATACTATATGTATATTTTAGGATTATTATTAAAGATATTGACGTTACATTGTTTCGTACATTCATTGAGTATTTGTATGGTAAACCACTGGAATATGAAACAATGGATAATAATGAGATCATTGAGCTGTTGGCAGTTGCTGATAGATATGAAGTACATATTACAATACAAAATGGCTACTCTCTCTCTCTGTAGACATCTTCATTGCATGTCTCGTGTGAAAAGGAACTGATTGGTAGAATTGATCAATCCAGTGTTTTCTCATTCCTTGTGGTTGCTGACCAGTTGAGTGCTGCTAGGCAGCTCAGAGTAGGTCACTTGTACTCTAGTTTGAAGGCTGTGCCCTAATCTCCTACAGTTACAATGTAGCTACTAGTGAATTCCTTTGCATGTGGGCCTGCTATCCTTGATATAGCTAATGACCTCACTAATTCTAATGTTGTTAGAGTCTTTGTTTCCTAATATAGTCGAGTACCTTGCAGTTCATACTGGATAACCCTGATGTACTCATACAGCAAGTTGATGCTTATACAGACCTACCTATTGAACTGAAATCTGAAGTGAGACAAATTCTGTCTGGAACTCAACAAATGAGGTATAGGAATGAGACTATACAGTATGGGAATGAGTTTGCATGTTAATTAATTGATTCATTTATTATCAATAGTGAGTTTAGAAGAGGCCCCCCTAAAAGAGATGACGACGACGATACTCATCAGGTGATGTATTCGTCTGAACTAGAAGAACTAATTGATACCACTGACACTGGCTATACTGGTAATACTGGTGTTGGTGAAATAGAGTCATTATTATCTGAAATGAGGTTAGTAGTTGGAGATGAACCCACTGATGACAGACTCAAGAGTTTACTAATGGCTGCTGACATGGACATTAACAGGGCTGTCAACTTCTTTTTTGGTGTGGGATGAGGAGGTCATTTTAACAAACATGTTATTTTTTATAATTATTTGCTGGTTTATATTGGAAGATTTTTAACACTTGATGTTTATGGTATATTTCATTTTTATTAATTTAAACTGATTCAAAACCATTCAGAGGTGAACTTTTAAAGTTACTCAAAAATGGTGCTAATGTCCCTGTACTCAAAACAAATTTTGCCAAAAATGAAAAGTAGAGAATCTTCAATTTTTATGCTTCCTGATACATACACATGTTCTTATGTTGTTTATGGAAAGTCTGAGCTGATTCCGATCAAATTTGGATTTTTTAATTAATTTTCAAACTTCTCAATGCAATACACACAAGCATTTCAAACTAAACTAGCAAAATAATTGACACAACAAAAAATAATTGTTATAATCTGTTAATCTTGCTTATGAGGAGATCTTCTTGTCATGCTTTTGACAGCATCAACTAGTGACTTGGCAATCATTGATATTGAATTGTATAGTTGATCCCAATTCTTGTTCATTATATGAGTGTGTATTTGATGATGAATAATCAATGGAGTCAATAGCAATGTACTAACTGATGGAGGAGTACACTATTAATGAATGACTAGGTATACCTGCTAAATGAAGCACAGCTGAAGTAGTTAGTACTTGTCCGATATAAGAGAATAGAAATGATGCAGCAATTCCAAAACCATAAAACTAAAACCATTCAGTAAAGATCGACACACACATTACTAACCTTCTTGGGATCATCTCCTCTCATTTTTAAAATGTAACAAACTTTATTTTTGATACAAAAATGAATGTTGCCAACTTTAGAGCACAGCAATTTGTACAACCCTTCCTCCCTGTCGCCCCTGTGGAAGAGCTAATGCACTTATGATAACTGGGCGACTCACTAACCAGTTTGGGTACATCTTAAACCTGTTTGACAGGTTTATGAATATGCAGAAGGCAAGAGAGAAGGCAACAATTAGTAATATCACTCCAAAAAGCAGCAGATTTGGAAGAGATAAAGATGCAATAAACCTGTAAATAATAATAATAATGATAATAATAATAATGATAATAATAATAATGATAATAATAATAATAATGATGATGATGATGATAATATTATGATGATGATAATTACATGATGAGTGCATTAACAGATGCCAGTATAGCCAGGAGGTATATTGTTGATGTGGTCCCATTTCTATTGCTAAGAGAAGAAGCTAGCCAGACCAACGGCTGCTTGTACACTAACAAATGAGACTCCCAATAAGATCCATACTCTCTCTCCTCCTGTAATGAAATAAAAGGAACACAAACTAAAGTATTTGACTAACCTCCATCTTGTTTTAGACTGATAATTAGTGTGAGTGGGTGTTGGCTGATTTCAGCCCCACCCACAAAATGGAGTCGAAGAAAAGAAAAATTTCTTTGGAGGAAGACACAAACGAAGCAAGAATAAAGGAGACACCAGCAGTGACTGGAGGATCATTCTGTTTTAATTTCTTTGACACTCCAAATGATGAGGAAAGCCAAGAGATGCAAAGTGATGAAGATACTTTCCATACCACAGGACAGGAAGAAACTACTGGCTCATTTAACCCGAGTCCTTCAATTCAAGTCCAGGACCATCAGAGACTATTCTTCTTTCATCCTGATGATCCAAACCTTTCAAACAGACTCTATGATGACCAGAATGAGTGGGCGTTCCACAGACAAAGTGTAGTGAGTGAATTGTATAAAGATTGGACTGAGAAGAGAAGAAACATTAAGGTTATTTGCACGAAGCAAAGAAAGAATGGACTCAGAAAGTTAAGAGAAAAGAACAATTCTAAATAATTATTATTTCGCAATTCCCGTGAACCTTTAATTTAATAATAATGATTCCTACTAATAATTAATGTTATTAATAATCGTGAATATTAAATAGGTACATGGTCTACTATAGTCTAGCTTCTTCAAGTCTTTCAGATTTTCCCAGTAAATGTCCCAGCTTCTCTCTGCTCATCCCAATTGCTGACCTAATGAGAACATAATTATCAATTTATCAATACATAAATACTCATTAACCAGGAGCAGAGTCTTATCATCCTGGCCCGTAACATACCCATTCCACTGGACACAATGACTGGAACACTTTCTTATAATATTCACATCCTTCACCAGAAGCATTCACACAAGAATGATAGTCCACATAATTCTGCCAGCAGTTCTTGGTTTGATTAGTGTTGGGGAATCTGGCATCAAACTTTGCCGTCTCTACCTTGATCTCTTCACTCATTTTAAACACTAGAACCACTGAAGAGACGGAAAAACTAAAAGGAAACACAAGAAAACACAGCAAGTGAAGTTTGTTGATATGGGTGGGGTTGGAGGTCACGTGATTGAAGCACCGTGTGCATTGATCACGTGACCAACTAGAATTCAGTTATCTAGCATTATTAATTTTTGTGTCTCTTATTATTTTAGGTTACAAACTTACAATCCCTAGCTGAAGGCATCAAATAGTAAGTAATGTCAGTTACAGAAGGAGGTGAATATTATAAACCAAATGAAGGAACCACAGGAGATGACATGGACTGTACGTTATCATAATACATGTAGTACATGTGTTTTAAATGTAATCATAAAACATGTAGCTACTTTTACATTACATGATAATGATTTAATTGTCTTTTTAGTAGTTTAATTTTATGAATATTTTGATATTGTTATAATTAAAGAGATCACAGAAAGTTAAAATAGTTATTTATTATTGTATAGT